TTGAAATAATCAGACAAAAGACAGGATTAAAATAATCAGGGATCCAAATGGGTAGATTTGTCTAAAGCGAAGGCTCATCTAAACCCAATAGCTTTCTCCTCCGATATTGTCTCTCCTAGATCGTCCCATCCTGTTTTTTCTTGAGTTCTCTAGAGTTTCAAACGTTTAGATGAGGGATTGATTCAGCACATTTTTCTGTGTCAATTGGCTATTCAAAAGTCAAAATCTTATAGAAAAGAGCTTTTCGGTTGGATGTGCACGGGATACAGAGATTCAACAGCTTTACATCTAGACTTTACATCTAGTCTTTACATTTAGTCTTTACATCTAGTCTTTGCATCTACATCAGTCAACAGATCACATAGATTTTGATCATTTTATCGAAAAGTCTTTTCCTTAATGGGAATTGACGGAAAGAAAAAGTCGCGATCAAATATTTCAGCACACAGAGCTTTGAGAACTTTGCCTCTTGATTCCCCGAGAAGCTAACGTTTCAAGCTTTCAAATGAACTCTCAAATGGTGAGTGGGAATCTTGTAAGAGATTGTAAGAGTGCTGAGATTTGGATCATTCTTTTTTTGATCCCAGATGGGGCTTTCCCATAAAGCATCTCTACTTTCCAATCCCATATTTTACTTGTAAAATCTTACCTCGACAACGCCACCGGTTTTCTCGGCTTTCTTCTCTAAAAACTTGAAATTAAAGAATTCCTTAAGAAAAGAAACCTTTAGCTTCTTCTAGAGTGAGCACTGTGTCGATACCTGAATTTAAAATGATACAATAACCCTTTTACCTTTCCTTAGGCAATCTGCATGGTGAAAAACTACCGTAATCCAACAGCTAGCTTACGGTAGACTCTTTTGACCATTTAGAACTACAGTACCTGATCCCTCGACAGATCCTGAGCCTTCGACTAATCCACTTCCTTCGACACCGCTACCCTCGACGTGGTGCTGGCCAGAGCCCTCGATCTAGAGATTTGTATTTGGTGTTTGGTTTGAAGCAGACCCTGCACAGGTCTGAGGCAAAGCTTTGAGGCAAAGCCTGACACCAGCCAACCAGGACAAGCGCCATGCCGGCCTAGTCTCAGTCAAGCACTCCAGCACCTCACTAAGATCACTCCAGTGAGGCTAGACACAGTCTTGAGCAGTCAATCAGCCCGAAACAAGTCAAACAGACTGAATCTAAGCCAAACAAGTCTAGATCTAGCTCCTAGGCAAGCCTAGGAAGACATATATGAGTATTATTCGAAAGCTGAAGATCTCCTCTACATTTTGATATAAAAAGTTTTCGAATTTGCTCAGCTTTTGGGCAAATTGGCTGCACAGAAGAAGAGGTGGCCAAAAAATAGATCAAGTTTTGGCTCTCGGGACTCAGAGCCAGCCGAGGTGTCTTTGGATCAAGTTTTGGCCCCGCTCAAATTCAGTTAACCGTTTGATGTTTGGCCAATAGATACATGAATACAACTTTTTTAAAAATACAACAACTTCAGAGCATCTTTACTTTTCTTTTCTATTCTGGGCGGTTATTTTACACCATAAAACTTGAGGAATAGCTAAGCTGGAGTAGCTAAGCTGGAGTAGCTAAGCTGGAATAGCTAAGCTAAGCTGGAATGGGTTTTTTCGAAAACGACCTCTCCCTTTGTGCAGTCAATTTCCCCGAAAAAGTTGAATGAATTCAAAAAGTTTTTTATTCCAAAATGTAGAGGAGATCTTCAGCTTTCGAATGATATATAACACTCATATACATCTCTTCGTCGTGGCGCAGTCGAGAACGCGCTTGTCTACGGCCCAAACGATCCGGTTTCGACTCCCCAAGCGTCACTGAATTTTGGTTTTCATAATTTTTACCTTAAATAACACAACTACAATACAGTGGTCCACAAATGTATTGTCCCATTGCCATCCAAAAGTTTCTTTCGTACGAAAATCTTGCAAAAAACGATATTCCCAAAAAGTGTAGGGTATTTTGCTTACCCATAATACTCTACTTTTCAGGATTATAAGATTTATCCGTATACATTGCAGAAAAATTAAAGTATAAAACAAAAACAATCAGTTACTTAACAAATAGCTCCACAAAAGTAATGTCCTCACTAATTTCAAGTTGTTTCAAAACAAATTTCACCGCAATCATTTCGAGTTCAAAATCATTAGCTAAATCCAACTCAAAAAGTCTACAAAAGCTTTATTCGTCAAAAATTAACTCGAGAATTCGCATGTATATCTGTAAATGTGAGTCCAAAATTTAAACGACCAACTGAAAAGAACAACATTAAGTACTCTCAACATCAAAACAAATAAAATAGAAACGAGAACAAAACGATCAGAGAATAGTTAGTTCCGTTTGGTCATTATGCGCTTTGCTTTCTCCATTGCAATCTAAAGAAAACCGATAAAAGTATTGGAGAAACAGGCTTTTGGAAATGCACAACGTTTCTTTACATTAAAAGTTAACCCAGTTACTCTAGCCCCGGTCGATCAAAGTTTCAGCCGATCACGGTTAAATAGCAAAAAAAGGGTTCAATTTCTCACTAGAGCGCCCAAATTTCGGAGCAAGCTGGAGCGCACAGCACGACAAGCCATGAAAAATACCTACCTCTTGGCGTAATTCTGCCGCTTTGAACAGCCGCTCGCCGAGCTCCGTGTACATCTAAAAATAAAATAAAGCAAGTTTTGAAAAAGGAAAGTAACTAGCAAGCATCTGAAACGCACCACGTTTCTTTGCATTAAAAGTTGACCCAGTTATCATAGTTTCAGCTGACCACGGTTACATAGCAAAAAAAGGGTTCAAATCTCACTAGGGCGCTCAAAATTCGGAAATCGTGCAAGCTGGAGCCCACAGCTCGACAAGGCATCAAAAATAAATTAAAACCCACCAATCTGCGCAATTCTTCCACTCGTACCTGCTTCTCGCCGAGTTCCGTGTATACATCTTTCCTCTGAATTCCTTTTTCTCGCGCTTCCACAAAATTTTTCTTTGTCCCGAGTTGACAAATATCGTCCAGGCATCTAAAAAAAATCATTTTTTGTTATATAAAAAAGAAAATAAAAACAAAAATCAAAAACTGTTTGGTAAACAAATCTTGTAAAAATAAGAAACTTGAGAGAAACACGCAAAAAGAGACACGCTTTGGGGAGAAATTGGACAAAATTTTTGACTGCCTAGGTAGAAATGATGCTCTAAACAGGTCAGAATCGATAAAATTTCATAAATTTGCACATGTGCGGAAGGTTTTCGGCAAGATAATCACACATTTTTATAGAAAAACTTCGAAAAGCAACTTTTTCCAAGAAATTTTGATGTTTTTTGAGGGGAATTCTGCTCAAAACCTGTCAAATTCTATAAAATTTGGTAAATTTGCACATTTGCTGAAGGTTTCTAGCAAGAAACCCTTATAGAAAAACTTGGAAAAGAAACTTTTCTAACAAATTTTGACGTTTCGGGCGAAAAACATACCAAATCCGATAAAATTCGATAAAATTGCCCGCTCAAAATCACAAAAAATGTTGAAAGTTTGAAGAAAAAGTCTTCCGAAAGTCTGGCATCAATGGCCTGGGATGAAAATTAGCCGCTTGTCTGAAAGATATTCAGTCAATTAGAAAAATATTACAGAAAAGGCAAATCTTTCACAATGAAAGTATAAATAACAGAAAATCGGCGGATTTTCATTTTTCATTTTTTCATTTTGGGGTAGGCTACTTTCCGCCATTTTAATTACGCAACAGGGTCATTTGCGCAACTTTTTTTTGCACAAAAAGGGTCATTTGCGCAACTTTAACACTGTATTAAGCACTCGAATTTTTAATCATTATTTTCATTTTTGAGCTTTTTTTTTTTATTGTTTTTTATTTTCTTCTATTTTTATGAAATCTTCCAATTTTTTTTGCATAATCTTCCAATATTTATCTAAATTAGTCCTTTCTAAGAGCTAATAACCATTAGTAAAATATTTTATCGCTTTAACAAAAAAGTGCAACCGATAACAATGAAAGTTAGGGCAACAATAGCAATGAAATTTAGGACAACAATAAAAATCAAATTTTTTTAATATAAGTCAAAAGCTGAGAAAGATGTTGCACAAAATCGCAACCGGGCAAGCGACCATTAGAAATAGCAGTAAAACGTTGCTTTTGTCGAGCCAATACAGTTTTCTTCCGTGTGTAGTTTTGTCCAACAGTGAGATTGATAGCCGATGAAAGCTTGAAACGGTTGATTATTTGCGTCATTTCTTCGTAAAGTCTGACCGCAGTATACGATGGATGCGGATTCTTGGGAAAATGCGGAAAATTAGTTAACAATGGTTTTTAAGAATAAACAAAACCGTACTAGAATTTTAAACAACAAAAAAAACGCCAAAAACTCCCTTAAAAAAAAACGTCCCTTAAAAACGTCAAAAAAGTTGCGCAAATGACCCTGTTGCGCAAAAAAAGTTGCGCAAATGACCCTGTTGCGCAAATAAAATGGCGGAAAGTAGCCTACCCCTTCATTTTAGAAGAATTTGCTTAAAATTTAGTGCTTATCTTGTTGAAAGTGCTCAGTGCGAGTGCAATTTTATCGGATTTGGTATGTTTTTCGCCCGAAACGTCAAAATTTGTTAGAAAAGTTTCTTTTCCAAGTTTTTCTATAAGAGTTTGTTGCTAGAAACCTTCGGCAAATGTGCAAATTTAGCAAATTTTGTAGAATTTGGCATGTTTTGAGCAGAATTTCCCTCAAAAACATCAAAATTTGTTAGAAAAAGTCGCTTTTCAAAGTTTTTGTATAAAAATGTGTGATTATCTTGCCGAAAACCTTCCGCACATGTGTAAATTTATGAAATTTTATCGATTCTGACCTGTTTAGAGCATCATTTCTACCTAGGCAGTCAAAAATTTTGCCCAATTTCTCCCCAAAGCGTGTCTCTTTTTGCGTTTCTCTCTCAAGTTTCTTATTTTTACAAGATTTCATGCGAATTCTATTCTTTTCAGGGTCTACAACGGATTTGATTAAGAGCGGCTAGAAATGGACGCACCATTTGAATTGCATAAATGCAGGGTGGGTGTTTAGAATTTGCACTTCGCTAGCATGATTTTATGGTTCACTCAATTCAGCATGTTAGATTCGCTTAATTTTGCTCAAAACAAGCAATTCGTTGAAAATTTTGTCATTTCTCCGTAAAACGCTTCAAAGTCGAATGTTTATGCCAAATTTTTGGGTGATCGATGTGCTGAATTGATAGAATTGACGTTTTTGATTACTTTTATCTTGTTTTGGCTCGAGTTTTCGAGTTTTAAATTGCTCGGAATTACTTTAAAAACTTTCACACGCAATTCAGCATGTTCTTTTTTCCCAGAAAATGCGAAACTTCCAGAGAGAAGTGTTAAAGTTGTGCTCTAAATGTGTTTAAAGGGATTCTTTGTCATATTTTATATCATTTCCCTCTTCAGAAGTGCGCGCAACTGCTGCTATCCTTGTTCGAGGCGGGAAAACACGTTTTCACGCACATGACGTGAGTTTTTTGGTGTTTTTAATCTGCTTGACTTGACTCAATCTCCTTTCATTTAGTGATTGCAAATTCTGCTGTGAGGCGTGCGATTTGACGAGCGATTCGGAATTGGAGATGAATCAACACATCAACACTCATCAGCCACAAGCGAAGATGACATACTTGCTGTGAGGATTGTTTAAAAACAACTTAAACAAGTGCTACAGCAAAATCTTGAGTGGAAATTCAAGATGTTGAAATGCACTTATTAAGCAAACTTTGGATAGAAATTGGTTGCTTTTAGCGAACATTTTTTCAAGTTGTCATACAAATTGCAAAGCTAATAATTAAAGCCTTTGATTAAAAAGAAGACAATGTTATCGTTGTAAAATGTGCTAATCGCTTCTTTTTAGGCATCTCTCGGACCTGGACAACGCGGAGCGCACGTCGATCGAGTGTTTCCCGGATATGCATGTCGAGTTGCATCAATTCTTCAACAAATATCGAGGACCCGAAAATTTGATTTTTGAGTCGTTGGTGGGTTTTTTGAAAGGTCAACTTGTAACAAAAGAAAGCAGAAAGTGAATTTGGAACTCTATGTAACTCTGCCAGTTGTAAACTGACTGTAAAAAGTCGTTGAAGGTGGAAAATAGTGTTATTTTGGAGCTTTGGTTCAGATCTCAGAGTCAGATTTCACTAGACCTGACCGTTACAAGGATCATGTAAATTGCGACTTCCATAATTCAACACTTTTCTATTTTAGGAGCAGGTCTGGGTTGGTCAACGATCCGGAAACGATGGTTGGTCTTGGATATTTGAAATAGTAACGATAGTAGCTTTTCTTTTATGAGATTTTGGTCAATTTCTGTCTGTTTAAAGGATAGAATCACCGACGAAGAAGCACAAGCTATTCGAGAAGCTTGCACGCGTCTAAAGGCGACTTTGGCTAAAAAGGAAAGGCTGGAGAATATGGTGAGAGTTATCATTATTTGAATTCTATGTTGTTTACCACAAAGCTTGTTTTACGGCTTATCTCTTATTTTTAGAGGTACACGGAGCTCGGCGAGCGGCTGTTCAAAGCGGAAGAATTACGCCAAGAGGTAGGTATTTTTCATGGCTTGTCGTGCTGTGCGCTCCAGCTTGCTCCGAAATTTGGGCGCTCTAGTGAGTCTAGTGAGAAATTGAACCCTTTTTTTTGCTATGTAACCGTGGTCAGCTGAAACTATGATCAACCGGGGCTAGAGTAACTGGGTCAACTTTTAATGCAAAGAAACGTTGTGCCTTTCAGATAGCCTGTTTCTCCAATACTTTTATCGGTTTTCTTTAGATTGCAATGGAGAAAGCGAAGCGCAGAGTGACCAAACTGAACTAACTATTCTCTGATCGTTTTGTTCTCGTTTCCATTTTATTTGTTTTGATGTTGAGAGTACTTAATGTTGTTCTTTTCAGTTGGTCGTTTAAATTTTGGACTCACATTTAGAGATATACATGCGAATTCTCGAGTTAATTTTTCACGAATAAAGCTTTTGTAGACTTTTTGAGTTGGATTTAGCTAATGATTTTGAACTCGAAATGATTACGGTGAAGTTTGTTTTGAAACAACTTGAAATTAGTGACTTTAAAGCCTTATCGGGCTAATGATGCCAAATTGTAGCATGCAAGTTAGGAAATGGACTGCAGTAGAAAAGAGAAAGGAGCACTAGTTGTTCAGTTGATTTGAGACTTCTATTTGACACGAACTTATTCGCAGAGAGTCCCCCTCGCCAAAAATTACCGAAACTTTGAACATGTTTTTCTCGAAAGCCAGGGTCCATGGGGGAAAAAGCGTGTTTCTTAGAATTCTACGGGGGCCTTTTGCAGCTAGGTCCGGTTTCGAAAATCGGTCGTTAATTGTTTCAACTAACCACCGAGTTCCCTAGTAAGTTCGATTTCGACAAATGGAAGGGTGCCAAAGGAACCCTTCCAATTTTTGGCTACCTCTTCTTCTGTGCAGTCAATTTGCTCAAAAGCTGAACAAACTTCAAAAACTTTTTATATCGAAATTGTAGAGGAGATCTTCAGCTTTCGAATAATACTCATATATGTCTTTTGCTTGATTTCGGTATCTTGAGAAATTTACAAAATATTAAAAAACGCGCATCGGATGAGCTCCAGGAAGAAGCAATTTCGCTTTTCTAAAGCTTAAACTTTTCGAATTGATCGGGAAATTGGTTGCAAGTCGATTTTCAGCCAATTTGGATGGCACACCGGCTAACAGTTACAGGATTTTATTTGAATATCGAGCAATCTGGATAGCACATGACAGTTTTATAACAAAAAACACGATATAAGGATGAGTTTATCATTTAGGGGATAGATATGAGATTCTTTTCCGCGAAAACGCCTCAAATCTCGCCCCTTTTCCGTTTATTGATTGGATGTCGTGGATCCGACAAATCATACCAATCACTTTTCGCCTCATCACGAAGATTCGCGTCCTGGAAAGAGTTTGAAAAGAGTAGAAAAGTGATGGACAAGGCTAGAACCCGGTTAAGCTTAGGCTTAGGCTTAGGCTTAGGCTTAGGCTTAGGTTTAGGCTTAGGTTTAGAGTTAGGCTTAGGCTTAGGATTATTAGGCTTAGGTTTAAGCTTAGGCTTGTTGGGCTTAGGTTTAGGATTGGACTTCGCCTATGCTAGCGGCTAGCGCCTCGCACTAAGTCTATTTGGGTTTGGGTTGAACCCCCATTTTCGGGATCTCAGCCAGTTCTTGGAGCGAAGTTGCAAGCAATTGCCCTTGTGCTTTGGAACCCAAGGGGAGTATGCTTGGAAAATTTCAGATCGTTACCATGTCTAGAAGTTTGGGATTAGGCTTAGGCTTAGGTTTAAGGCTAGGCTTAGATTTAGGTTTAAGGAGACAGGCCTAGAGCCAGAAGCCTGGCCTGGATCCTGGTGGCAATTCCTTGACTTGGCTTCACTGCTAAACCCTAAACCTGGCTAGGATCTTGACTCGGTTTATGGCCAGAGCATCCACTGATCTCCGGGTCAGCTGTACCCCGCGTTTCCATCTTACAAAAGTCATTCAATGAACAAAACTATAGACTTCAAACAGGCATACCCCTCAAAAGCGATACTTTGACGTACCTTTGCCCGGGTGACATTCGGATCGAGCTCGTCCTCGGCGACGAACGCGTGCTTCATCCTGGAAATGCATTGCTGAAGCTAGAACGTTTTCTAAATGGTGTTAGATTCTGGTTTTGCTTTACTTTCGCTTACAAAAGTATCTCTGATGAAGCTGGGTACAAACTGATGTACAAGTCTGACTTTCTGGTTCTAAATTCTTCCGACAACAAGGCTAAATCGTTGGCTGAGCTCCAGAAATCGTTATTTCGCCTAAGCTTAAATCATTGGCTGAGCTAAGAAAAGCCTAAGCTTTTCGAATGTGCCGGAGAACTTGTGGAAATCGATTTCTTTTAGGCAATCCGAATAGCACAGTGGCTATTGCTGAGTGGCGGCGTTTTTTGCGTCTTTTTCCATCTTTTTCCACTTAACTTTAAAGCCACCAATTTCTAGGTGAATTCAAATTCCGCCTAAACACTTTTGACTCAGCTATTCGAGATCAACGCCTGGAAAAAAAAAACTCTATCGAATGGTACTTGCGAATGTACTATGCGAATGTACTATACGAATGTACTATACGAATGTACTATACGAGTGTACTATACGAGTGTACTATGCTAATGTACTATGCTAATGTACTATACGAATGTACTATGCGGGTGTACTATGTGAATGTACTATGCGAATGGTACTCTATCATTTTAAAAGGTTTAAAAGGCTTAAAGGCTCTCACCAATCAGTTCCCACAATATCCTCAGCGTCTAAATCATATCCGAATTCCTTTTCCTTGTCTTCATCTCCATCCTCTGCATCCACCCCATCCACTCCATCTGCATTCCGTCGAATTCTCATTTCTTCGCCTCTCTTCTTCCTCTCTTCTTCCTCCTTTTCGCCGGAAAGATCGACTCGTTCGGGTAAACTTGTATCCACCTTAAAAAGTAATCGAACTTGAGACATTGATACCATTGAACATTAAATCCCGTACCTCAGCCACAGTAGCCTTTACAGTCTAAAAGTCCTTACCGATTTGTCGAAAAGGATATCCGTTTGCTCGGCTTGATCTAATTTCGCGCGGAAACGCTCAAGAAGTTGCATTGTCTGGAAAGGATTTGATTTTGGATTTCGCTCTTTCATTTTGATTAATTCTTGAGGGACTTCTCTTATTCAAGGATCTCTTAGAGATCAAGGGCTTAGAGATCAAGGCCTTAGGGATCAAGGTCTTAGAGATCAAGGCTTTAGAGATCAAGGCTTTAGAGATGAAGGCCTTAGAGATCAAGGCCTTAGAGATCAAGGCCTTAGAGATCAAGGCCTTAGGAATCAAGGTCTTAGAGATCAAGGTCTTAGAGATCAAGGCTTTAGAGATCAAGGCCTTAGAGATCAAGGCCTTAGAGATCAAAGCTTCAGAGAGAAAGCCTTCAGGGATCAAGCCTTCAAAGATCAAGGCTTTAGAGATCAAGCCTTCAAAGATCAAGGCTTTAGAGATCAAGGCTTTAGAGATCAAGGCTTTAGAGATCAAGCCTTCAAAGATCAAGGCTTTAGAGATCAAGGCTTTAGAGATCAAGGCTTTAGAGATCAAGCCTTCAAAGATCAAGGCTTTAGAGATCAAGGCTTTAGAGATCAAGGCTTTAGAGATCAAGCCTTCAAAGATCAAGCCTTCAAAGATCAAGTCTCCATTGACTTCTCTTATTCTCTTAACTCCTTGTTTAACCTGGCTTAAAACCCCCCTGCCTTCAACTATGATTGTTTCTAGATAAGGAAATTTGATCTGAAATCAGATGTAGCCATTGTGTCTGAATTCAATGATTTTCTTACTTTCTTCAAAAAGGATTTCATCAAATTCTCAACTACCTTAAACCCGTTTATCACTAGATAAGGAAATTTGCTTTGAAATCGAATAGAGTCTTTCCTTGATCTATTCAAGAGCTATTCAAGAGCTATTCAAGAGCTATTCTAAGAGCTATTCCAAGAGCTAATCTTTGCTAACAACTACAGTAAACTAAAATAATAGTATCGCTTTTTAAAGAGTGCTTTTTGTCGTATAGAAAACATGATAATCAATCGTTTGATGATGGTAGCAAAGCAATCGTGAACGTAATCAATGAGCTGAGATGAGCCAGTTAATCAGTGAGGCCAAGCTAAGCCAAGCCAAGCCAAGCTAAGCCAAGCCAAGCTAAGCTAATGAAAGCGAATTTTCTAAACCTGATTCTCTCGTCCCTCGTCCCTTTTACTCTTCAATTTTTTCGTCTTTGATTTGAATTTGATTCTCATCGCTTTATATTCAGCCAGCACCTCAGAGACGGGTTCCTCTGTAAATCCAGATCATTGTAATGATTCGAATCGCTGTAAATTGTCAATTTACTTATTAGAAAACAAATTAGAAATTATCTTTGTTAAAAGTAAAATAAAGATTGTAAACTGAAAGGAATTTGATAGAAAAACTGAGAAATTGATTTAGAAATATTTAGAAATATTTAGAAATTGATTTAGAAATGATTGTGGTTATGAATTGTTCTTCGATTCATCTGCGTAACCTTGGACCTAGGCTTGCCTAGGAGACTAGATCTAGACTTGTTTCGCCTAGGAGACTAGATCTAGACTTGCTTGGCCTAGGAGCTAGATCTAGACTTGTTTGACCTAGGAGACTAGATCTAGACTTGTTTGACCTAGGAGACTAGATCTAGACTTGTTTGACCTAGGAGACTAGATCTAGACTTGTTTGACCTAGGAGACTAGATCTAGACTTGTTTCGCCTAGAAGACTAGATCTAGACTTGCTTGGCCTAGGAGCTAGATCTAGACTTGTTTCGCCTAGAAGTCTAGATCTAGACTTGAATTCAGTCTAAATTCAGTCTAAATTCAGTCTTTTCTTTCTTTCCACTCACCACTCTCCTCAGTCTTCTTTTCTTTTGGTCCTCGAAGTGCTTTTATATACTCTTTTTGAAGAGATTTTAACTCGCCAGCCATTTCCTTTCTGTAATTGCTTTCTACAAAAGAAAATTCAGCATCTTTCTTAATAGCGGCGGCCCGATTTATTCAAGAAGATTAACGGCAGCTCAAGATTATTCACAGCCTACTACTTCTAAAGTTTTTCACACATTTATCCCAAAACATTTAGGCGTTTAAACGTTTGTTACGTTTAAACAAACGTGTTTAAACGTTTAAACCATTGACACAAATATTTCTCAAACATTTACGAGAAACGGGGCCGCTGATAGTCTCCTGGGCCCCCTGATAAGCCCCTGGGCCCGCTGATAAGCCCCTGGGCCCGCTGATAAGCCCCTTGGGACGCTACTATTAAGAAAGGTTGAAAATTGTTTCAACTTACATCCTTTCCTGTTCTTTTTCCTTTCTCTCTTGCTCAATAATCGAATCCAAATCCTCATCTTCATCAGGCTAAAGTTTTAAAAGTCATTTAAAGAATTATTACATTTAAAGATTACTTTCAATCTGTTAGAGTTTGGAGATCTAATTTTAAGGGAAAAGCTGAATCCATTTCTGTTTTTAAGAAGTAATTTCTTGAAATCAATTTGTAAATAATACAGTGTGTTTCAAATTCTTAAACGCACCCTCTAAAATAGCGAATTTTGCATTTTGACCACCCCTACAACTATTAATCTTTTTTCTATTAGAAAGAGCATGTCTTAAAATCTAGATAACACGAAAAATAAGCATACTGTAAAAAACAAAAATTTTCAAAAAAGAAACTTTTTGCTAAATCAACCGTTTCAAATTCTTAAACGCACCCGCCCTGGCTGTTGTTATTTGAAATTTTTCGTTTTCTTGTGCATATTTTTTTATTAAATTTATAATTTTTGTTAATTTCCAAATAAATGGCACACGGAAAGCTGCTCACGGATTATGAGAAAGGCCAGATTGATGCCCGTTTGAGGATTGGCGTCTCAATAAGGAAAATCGCAAAAAATTTGGGCCGATCCGACTCTGCCGTGCGAATTTATATAAAGTCCGAGTTCGTTTCTGCACCAAAGAAGAAGCCAGGACCAAAACCAAAGCTTACACCGCGAGCTAGACGCCATATTGTGAACAACATCCACGGAAAAACGATCAATGAAGTGAAAACGCAACGGAAAATCGACTCTTCAAAGTCGACAATTTGGCGAGCCATCAAGGAAAAACGCACATATCGATCGACAATTATTGAACATCCGACCGATCGTGAAGCTTTTGCACAAGAAAGCCCGATTGGCCTTCGCCAAGACTCATATGAATCAGAATTGGTCTATGGTTGGAAAGCCGCTTATGTTTTATTATTTTTTTTGCGTTTAGGTGATCTTTTCCGATGAGAAGAAATGGAATTTGGATGGCCCCGATGGCGTTGGCTACTATTGGAGGGATCTTCGACGTGATCCGATGGTGTTTGGAACTCGAAACTTTGGCGGTGGTCCTGTGATGGTTTGGGCCGCCTTTTGTGCTGATGGAACGGTCGCTCTGAAGATGGTTTCGAATCGGATGACTAGATAGATATCTTGAACAATTGCTTGTCGCCGTTTTCGCTCCTAAATCAAGCCGTTCCCGATTTGTTTCAATACGACAACGCGTCAGTTCATCGAGCCTGAGATACCCGAGACTGGCTGAACAGCAACAACATTGCAACTTTGGACTGACCCGCTCAGTTACCTGACCTCAATCCGATAGAAAATTTATGGGGAATACTTGTCCGAGCTGTCTACCAGAATCATCGTCAGTTTCAAGACGTTGCCACACATAAAGCAGCAATTTTTTCGGCCTCGAGCGATCTCGACGTCTCTGCTCTTCAAAACCTCATCAATTCAATGCCAGGCCGCATTTTTCAAGTAATTAATCGTTCTGGTGCGTGTACAGATCATTAGTTTTGATTTTTTACCTTTGATTTTTAATTTATATCGATAAATAAAAATATTTTCATAGTGCGTTTAAGAATTTGAAACAGTTGATTTAGCAAAAAGTTTCTATTTTGAAAATTTTTGTTTTTTACAGTATACTTATTTTTCGTGTTATTTAGGTTTTAAGACATGCTCTTTCTAATAGAAAAAAGATTAATAGTTGTAGGGGTGGTCAAAATGCAAAATTCGCTATTTTAGAGGGTGCGTTTAAGAATTTGAAACGCACTGTAGAAGCCGTTAGATCTCAAAGCTTTACCATGTTTGAAATGCTTTTAAATGATTTTAAATGCTTTTTAAATACTTTTAAATACTTTTAAATGCTTTTAAATGCTTTAAAATGCTTTTAAATGCTTTTAAATACTTTTAAATCCTTCTAAATCCTTTTAAATCCTTCTAAATCCTTTTAAATGCTTTTAAATGCTTTTAAATGCTTTTAAATACTTTTAAATCCTTCTAAATCCTTTTAAATCCTTTTAAGAATTATTCTTCTTTTTTTTTTGTTTTATTAAACCTTTTTCTCGTCGTTATACTTCCGCTTCTTTCCCAGCTTTTCTCGAATTCGACTCATTGATGTTGGATGCTGCTCGTCGTCTTCCTAAAGAAAGATATTCAAATTCTCGAGCTTGTCGAACTCTATTCGAACTCTATTCAACTCTATTCGACTCTATTTGACTCTTTTCGACTCTATTCAACTCTATTCAACTCTATTTGACTCTATTCAACTCTATTCAACTCTATTCGACTCACTTACCGGCTCATAGTCAGCCATTTCATCTCGTGTCACGGCCACCTGTTTACTCAAGCGTTCATCGTCGAGTACATCGTGCGCACTTTTCCCTTTACCCGAGAGTTTCTGAAACAAGAAAACCAATCATTCTTCGATCCGGAAGCCACTAAAGCAATTTCTAGAAAGCCAATTGAGCTTTGTTAGAAATTGCAAAATCGACTTTTCGGCAAATCGGCAAATCGACTTCCGTGCTGCGTTTGAAATCGATTTGTACAATGAAAACAATGACTATTCAATGAAAGGTGAACACTTAGTGACATTGAAAACGTTTCCCAAACCTTGTTAATGTGTGTGAGCTCCTCCTCATCCTCTTCTGCTTCATCGCCAAACGATAAAAGATTTAATTTTTTCGTTTCCACCACTTTCGTCTCTTTTTTCTTCTCACGACGTTCTTTTTCTCTGAATTGAAAAAAAAATTACAGTATTCCAAGTACGGCTAGTACTTTGTACTCTAGTAAAAAAACGATTGCTAGGATACTGTAGTGTTTTGGAGCTTTCAGAGTACTTTATCTATAGAATACAGTACTGTAAACGACAAGCTACAAGACTGTACTCTAGAATAATCTATAGAATACAGTACTCAAGTGGTCTTTGGGTACAAAGTACATAGTGTACAAAGTACATGACCCTAGGAGTACTGTAAACGACAGCTACAAGACTGTACTCTAGAATACTGTAAGACAAGCTACAAGCCCTTACTCTGAAGTGCTTAGAATACCGTAAGACAAGCTACAAGACTGTACTCTAGAAGTGCATAGAATACTGTAAGACAAGCGGCATTACCGTACTCCAAGAGCGCTCGGAATACTGTAGGACAAGCTACCGTAACCCTGTACGATCTGTGAGCCTAGTTTTCTTGGAGAGAGATTCCAGTCTGATCTGGACTACGAAGTGCATGGAATACTGTAAGACAAGCTACACTACCGTCCTCTAGAAGTGCTAAGGGACAAGCTAAGGCTCAGCCCAAGGCTTAGCGTCTAAACTTGAGGAACCAAAACCCAACTAATACCTTGGTCGAATATCCTTAAACGGATTCGTCAACACGGTGGCTCCGGTGATCTTGTAAAGGGTTTTTGGCCTCTCATTCGCATCCACATCCACTTCGGTCATCTTCAACATGTTGAACATTGTCGGGCCGACGATCTGGAATGTTCAAGTTTGAAAGAGTTGTACTGTATTTCTATAGAATTATCTATAGAAATTCAAACGGGTACGGGTTTTTCGAGCGGCATCCTGGAGCACTAGGGTTCGAGCACTAGGGTTCGAGCACTAGGGTTCGAGCACTAGGGTTCGAGCACTAGGGTTCGAGCACTAGGGTTCAAGCACTAGGGTTCGAGCACTAGGGTTCGAGCACTAGGGTTTCTGGTTGAGCAAACTATTTATCATCTAGCATTTAACCAGTTGTTTAAAAAGATTTATAATTTAGTAACTTTAGTAAATGCTAAATGCTAAATACTAAAATGAATATTTTGATTTTATCAAATAAAACTAATAAATTGAGTCAGCAAAAAAGAAAACATTGTTTTTAGAAAAATTTTGCTAAATTCATTGATTGATTCGTTGAATTTTATAAAATAAAAGTTGAATTTAGTAAAACTCGAGCAGTTAGTGAACCAGCTAAGCTAAAGGCTCTGAACCTAGCTAAGCTACAGGCCCTGAACGCAACTAAGCTAAAAGCCTTGAACCCAGCTAAGCTACAGCCCTTAAACCCAGCTAAGCTACAGCTCTTAAACCCAGCTAAGCTACAGCCCTTAAAACCCAGCTAACTAGTAATCTAAAGGCTACCTTTCCAAACAATGTATGTTTCCTTGTCAACTCGCGAACTTGTTGTGGCTCAGTGCCGAGAGTGATGAAAAATTGTGATCCGTTTGCGTCTCTGCCTGTGCTTTTAAACGATTTCTCTTTGACTATCGGAAAAAAAAACAAACCCGAATTCGCCATTCCGAGTAAACCGCGTCGGTTATACGTCAAACGTTGATGAAATTCATCCTTTAAATCAATCATTTTCATCGTTTTTCCCAAGAAAGTTCACTTACTTTAAATGGTTTCCCATAAATACTCTCACCGCCTTGACCGGTGCCTGTTGGATCGCCTCCCTAAACAAAATATCAAAAACAAAATATCGTGGAGAAAAGAATGCAAATAGAATGCAAATAGTACTCTTCAGAGATGTGCAAAACATTGTGCAATACCTAGAACTCCTAAAGACATAGAATTCCTTAAGAACCTAGATGCTTACCTGTATGATGAAATCTTTGACAAGACGATGAAATGGTGCTCCGTTGTAGTAGCCTGAAATTGGTATTGTTTCGAAAAGTTTATTGACTGCTACAGGCCAACTTCAAGACAAATTGGCACTGTTTGGAAACGTCTATCAACTGCTATATGCTTATAATTCAAGATTTAGCCCCTTGATTCAACTTTTGAACAACTGACATTGTTTGGAAGCGTTTATCAACTGCTATAGGCTTATAATTCAAGATTTAGCCTCTTCATTCAACTTTTGAACAACTGACATTGTTTGGAAACGTCTATCAACTGCTATAGGCTTATAATTCAAGATTTAGCCTCTTCATTCAACTTTTAAACAACTAGCACTGTTTCGAAAAGTCTATCAACTGCTATAGGCTTACAATTAGCCACTTCATTCAACTTCAAGACAAACTGACACTATTTGAAAACTATTCATCGACTTTTTAGCTACGAATTGACAACAAACCTTCCATGCATAATTGAATGAAATTTCGACAAGTCATCGGCGCCTCTTTACACCACAACTCGCACTCGATCTCGCCGGCTGACGTTTGGAGAATCACCTGTAATTCGAGATAGTGTCAAAGCGAAAGGAAAACCTTTTGTGCATCCCAGCTAGAAGTTTTCGACAATTTTGATCTTATTTCCTTGATCAGGCGCCGAGTTTTTCGCGTGAACTCGTTCACCGCGCTTGAACTAAGGTTGTCGCCGTCTAGCTTTCGTTGATCATTGTTGCTAGTGCCAAACTGGCATGCACATAAGATTTTGACATTATTTCCAAGTCATTAGCATTTGTATGTTCGTGAAATTGGTACTGACCTTTCCGGTCGTGATCGGCTCGTTCAAGTATTGACTGCTCATCGCTGAAATTTGTAAATAAAATAGATAAATAGATTTAGAACTTAAAGGAAACTAGAAAATGTAAAAACATTTGAAAATTGATTTGAAAAAGGCTCGAAAACGACGTTAGGTGAGGAAATTTGAGGCCGAGAGTACGCATGGATACCCTGTACGGGAGGAAGTTGGGTGAAATTCAAAAGAGAGGAAACGATTTGCAACATTTTGCTTTCCAAAGGATGACTTCCAGAATAAACAAAAAAGACTATCGTAACCTGCGGCGATCCTTTTGCAGTAGCAAAACTCTACCGTACTCCTTTCGTCCTACTCTTCTACAAAACCTACCCCCGTATTCTTGGATTTTTCTATAGAAAAAGATTTCTATAGATTTTTCTATAGGCTTTCTATAGAGACTAGGGAGCTTAGAGATATAAGCTTAGCCAAAGCCAACTGCCAACCCGCCTAGAAGACGGCGTCGAGCGTCTTCTAGGCGATTGTCTCAATTAAACTTAGCACCGATTTTCGAAAGCTTTAAAACACTTAAACATTCATTTTTGTTCCAGAAAAAAAGCAACGTTTGGTCGATGAGCGGAATTGAACCCGCGGGCAAAAAGGGTCAAAGACTTTCTAGTCAAGCGTACTATCCACTAGGCCTTCGCTGCTTCTCGTGGGCTTTTGCTTGACGCCGTCTTATAGACGAGTTGGCAGTTTGGCCATAAGAAATATATCTTGAACATCAGCATCAGTAGGGCCTGTCAACTCGCATATAAGACGACGCCAAGTGGCCAAGGACAAAGAGCATCGACAGCTTAGGGGATAGTTCGCTAGGCTACAGAGTCTCTGATCCTTTTTGCCCGCGGGTTCAATTCCGCTCGTCGACCAAACTTTGCTTTTTTTTTCTGAAACAAAAATGAGTTATGAATATTTAAGTGTTTTAAAGTTGTAATCATTTTTTATTGTTCAAATTGTCCAAAACTTTTCACGCTTAAATCTCGAACACCAGGGATTATCAGCGAAACAAAAAAGTGTTTCTTAGAATTCTACGGGAGCCTTTTGTAGCTAGGTCTGTTTTCGAAAATCGGTGATAAATTTAAACAGTTCTCTAGTCAGGTTGTGCACTAGAAATGATGTGTTTACGTTTGTACAAAGAGCGCACAAAGGATTGAGGACAACAGGATTGAGGTCAACAATTTTTGAGTCTCAAAAAAACAAAAAAAAAAAATTTCAAATTCAGTCTCAAGGAATTTTTCGTACAGTTTTAGACTAGATTGCATAGGGAAAAAGTGATAATTTTCTTTTTTCTTCTCTTTTCCCTTCAACAGCAAGATGTTTCACGTGGAAAAGATTGTCTCTCGAGAAAGATTTTCTCAAAAATCTCCCGATTTTTACATTTTTAACCCGATTTCTCTTGTAACCCCAGATTAAACATGTTGAGAAACAAAATTTAAACCTTTTTCACAGCTTTTTATACAATCTGGAACACAGTAGGGATTTTAGAAAATAAATTTTTTAAAAAGCATTCATTCTTGAAGAGATGATCGGAAAAAAATTCGCGTCACGATTAGTGAATTTTTAAAAGAGAAATTTACATTTAAAAGCTGATTTTCTTCTTATCTGGAGGTCACACGAGAATGCTAGGCAATTAGATTTTCGATTTTTGCACATTTGAGAATTTTTGAGAATAGCGTACTGGTTTAGAGGAGGAGGGGATGATTGCCTCTATTGCCCTTTCCCTTGCCATCCCCTTGCCATCCCCTTGCTCTCTGTCGCTCTCAAAAACTCTCCCTCCCCCAATTTCCGAAACGTTTTGTCAAATCGTCATTTGAATTGCAAATTTCGTACAGTTTTCACCACGTTTTCATCTCCAAAATCGATTCTTTTCTTTTCTTTTCTTTTCTTTTTCGTTTTCAGTTTGAACTCGATCTTTTATACTTTGTGCGCTTAAAGTAATGAGAAACATACCCTTTCTGGCACAAGGGATTCTTAAATGCTCAAATTAGACAAAGGATATTCAGCGAGCTAATCTAGCTTAATCTAGATGACCCTGGCCTTCAAGCTTCAAAGCTTTAAGCCCAAGCTTTAAGCCAAAGCTTTAAATCAAAGCTTCAAGCCAAAGCTTTAAGCCCAAGCTTTAATCCAAAGCTCTAAAGTCAAAGCTTCAAGCCAAAGCTTCAAAGCTTGAAGCCCAAGCACTTCAAATTGTTGTAAGCCGGCCTTCTATGGCTTGATCTGGCTTCTGAGCTTTTGAAAAAGATCTCTTGAAATCTTTTGAAAAAGATCTAGACTAGACTTGATTAGACTTGAATCAGGTTCTTGATTAGACTTGAATCAGACTTGAAATGTTGTTGCAAATTCTGTAAACCAGGCCAGGGTCAGGCTTAACCTGGCCGAGTCTTTAGATTATAAACTTAGTCTTTTGACTCCAGGCTCATGATCAGCCTCGACTCCTTTCCAGTCAAACCTTGTTCAATGGCAAATATCAATTCACAAAGTGCAGCTATTCAACAAAATCCCTAATAATTGTAATAATCATTGTTCATTGTTCAAATTAGCCAAAATTTTCCACGACGACGAGCGGAAATGAACCGACGGGCAAAAAGGGTCAGAGACTTTGTAGTTTAGCGTACTCCTAGGCCTCCTAGGGATTCCTTAGGTCTCCTAGGCATCCCTTAGGTCTCCTAGGCATCCCTTAGGTCTCCTAGGCATCCTAGGCTCCTAGACATCACCTAGGCCTCCTAGGCCTCCTAGGCTCCTAGGCCTCCTAGGCTCCTAGGCCCTAGGCCCTAGGCCGTCGCTGCTTCTCGTTCGTTTTCGCTTGACGCCGTCTTCTAGACGGGTTGGCAGTTGGCTTTGGCTAAGCTTATATCTCAAACTTCAGCAGGGCCTTAAGTTCCAACTCTGAAGCTAAAGAAAATCCAAATGCAAAGCGAAATTATAAAGCCACTTCTTTAAAAGCACAAAGTGAGCAAAGAGAAAACGATATAAATGATATTTAAGGTTCTCTATTTGTTATAGAATGAAAATTCTCTAAAGTAAACACAAAGAAACTCCAAGAAAAGCCGAGAGTAAACGAAAAAGGAAATTCTTTTCAAAAATTTTCGCAAACAACCAAGGTTTTTCTCACTCCTTTTGGCATTACCCGATTCTTTAAGCTCATCTTTCTTAGAACATTGCTAATGCTAATGTTTTTTGTTAAAGCTGGAACGCATTCAAGTCTAAAATGAAAGAAATGAGCAATGTTGTTGTTGTTGTTGTTGTTGTTGTTTTTTCTATTTTTGAGTTCAACGTGTTAACTCGACTTTTTCTCAATAGATTTCCGATAGTTTTTACATTTTTCTCTTAGTTGGATGTCACATGAATTCTTAAGAATTAAATTTTTCACATAACAACAATTCTTCTTTTGGTGTAATACCCGAAAAAGGACGAGCACTCGAAATTGAAAGCGAATCATTCCCAGCGCCAAATAATTCGTAAATTCTCTTTCCTGGAGTGCACAGCAAATTTCAAAAATGAAATGGTGTTGATTTCTTTTGTAAAAGACTTGTACATTGTACCAGAGTGTACTGGAATCGGGAAAAGGCTTGAGTCTAAGGAATCGACAAAAATTTGTTTGTAAAGGAATTATTCGCTTTCTCTTTCCCTTTCCACAATCACGTTTTCACCTTTTCTTTGTGTTCTTGTTATTTTACGGGTGACGGGGGAAGGAGGGGAGAGGAAGGGGGAGAGGGAGAGGAAGGGGAAGGGGGAGAGGAAGGGGAAGAGGTCCAGTCACCTCTCCTCTTCAACGACTCCACCACCAACAACGTTTATCGATAAATCAAAAATTTCCTTCTATTCTATTAAAAGGATTCTATTGTGCTTTCCAACTAACTAACCCTTCTAACTAACTAACCTTTCCAACTAACCAACTAACTAACCCTTCTAACTAACCAACTAACTAACCAACTAACCAACTAACTAACCAACTAACTAACCCTTCCAACTAACCAACTAACTAACCCTTCTAACTAACTAACCAACTAACCCTTCCAACTAACCAACTAACTAACCCTTCCAACTAACCAACTAACTAACCAACTAACTAACCAACTAACTAACCAACTAACCCTTCCAACTAACCCTTCCAACTAACCAACTAACTAACCCTTCCAACTAACCAACTAACTAACCTTCCGAAGTTACCCACAATTTACAATATGTGATAGGCGCCAAAAGAAAGGCCTAAAAATGTAAATTCAGAAAGTGTTTTCAAAAAACGGCTAATCGTCAAAACGCACAAAGTTACAGCCATTTGAATTTCGAAAAAATGAAGGGTTTTCTCGAATTTCTGGCACAATGATTTTTGCCGGCGAAAAGGCGAAAAGGCTTTCCTTTCGCTATCCCAAAAGTCAGCTCGTAGCCTAGTGGTTGGCCTTTCTGCGCTCGGAACTCTTTGAGCTTGGTTCGGAGTAAAGTAATTTTTTGCTTTTTTTGGAAAACATTAAAAGAAAAGCCTTTTTGATTATTAGAAATTTGTATAATGTTATTTTCTAATGCTATTTAATGATTGACAATCTATTTAAAATTGTTCCTTTAAAATCTATTTCAAATTCGAAGTTCGCAAATTTCTTTGGATCCAAGAGGTTTTTGAGGATAATTTTTAAAAAATTGTCAATCCTGGAAGTCACAAAGGGTTGCTAAATGATTGGAAAGATGAAAAGGGAAAAACGAAAAAAAAAAAAAAAAGTGATAAGGCTTGACAAAGTTTAACGCAAAATCATACTAAAAAAATTCATTTTTTGTACAAAAATTCTCAAATTTTCATCAATTACTCACCGTTATTTTATCGCTTTTTTTTTTTGTTCTTCAAACGAAAGCAATCAGCACTTTCTTTTTGGAAATCTGATAAGAAGTGTGGGCGTGTGGGTTGAGAGGATTGGGCGGGTGAGGAAATTGTTTAATTGAAATTGTTTAATTGAAATTGTTTGATTGAAATTATTTCATTAAAATCTTTCTTTTTTACATTATTTTTAGCTGAAAAGCTG